TATTAAATATAAAAAAGTGTCTTGTATATATTTAAGTGATGTAATATATACATTAAACACTCGTCGATGTAACTGCATACTTCGCGTTAATATAAATGTAATTAAATAAAAGATTTATGTATTCTATCGATCAAACATAGATTTGATCTCGTTATGGTTATTGTTATGGCGATATACATAATTGCGTATGCATTTTATAATACGACGCAAGGTGCAATATTTTTCATTTTATTTCCTTTTGAACGCGACGTTAATTAATTATTTAATTATTGTGATATATTCACAATTGATTAAGTTTTTTATAATGTGTCTTGAATAATTTCCTATGTGTATTTGTAATTGTATTAATTATTTAATAGTTTTTATATGAAATAGAAATATTTTTCTATTCATATATTTGTATATTGAAAAAAGCATGCATCTGAGACATGCATTTTTTCATATTCACTTGTGTTTAAATATAAAAAAATACATTTTCTAATGCATCGAGAATTCGGTATTTTTAAATGTCCACTTTTTGGTCATTTAAATTGTATTTTTTTTTTTAAATTTCATTATTTACTAAATAATTCAATTGAAAAGTTTTGATTGTGAATCATACATCGAATTTCATTTTCCCACACATGCCCTTTTTATCTAGTTTTTTTGTTATAGAAAGCACTGTATTTTCAAGCTGTAAGGTTTCATATCGCAAAATACCATTTTATCAATGGATATTTACAACAATGTCTGCAATAGTATACCAAGGTTTGTAATGCAATCATTTAGGATATAAAAATAAATTAATAAAAATTACGTATAATTTATACGTAGTAATATAAAATTAATTTTTGTTTTAGGTTCATCGATATTGGCAAGATTCTATTCCACTGTTTCTAGTTTGTGTTCTCGTAGTAGTCATGGTGTTGGTTTTTCTATCTAAATGTATGAATGTATGAATTTATGTGTGTGTGTGTGTGAACAAATTTTTGGTATTTGGTTTAGTATATCAATTATGCATTTATTGTCAAGACATTTTCACTGATGGCTTTTGGTTTTCATCAATTCTTGTTTAATTATAAATCTTGTTTTTAGATTGTTTCTGTTCACAGATAGCAATATTGTTAATAGCATCTGAAGAGGATTAATCGTAGATTAATATTAGATGATAAGATAATAAAATAATAAGATAATAAGATAATAAAATAAAAGAATTTGTTAAATTATTTCTATTCAATAATATGATTTATATTTTTGATATCTCATTACGAATTCTTATTATTATTAAAATAATATTCAATGCACGTAAGTGCATATAAAATTGCGTGCGTTCCTATTGTAACAATTTGCGTGTTGTTACATTGTAAATTTCGGCCGAATGTAAATTAAAATGGTTTACATTCTTGCGTTTGTTGAATAAAAAAAACTTGCATTTTGTAATTAAAATTTCAATCGAATCTACGTCAAAGCGTTTGCATGTTTGCGTTAATTTAGGATTGTAAATCGGGTAGGTAGGATCGATTGTAAAACGATGTTCTGTTATTTTTCATTCAACTTGAATAATAAGTTGAAAGAAAAAAAATGTATGACTCGTTTTACGCGTTACATTTTTTGAAAAAAATTGTTTTCTAATAAATGATTAATGAAACAAATGAATTTTTGAAGTAGTTTGAAGTAGAATCTTAGCCCGTGGGTCTCCGAAAACAGCAACCTCCTAGCGGTGAGACCTGGGTCGGTATTACTTGCGATTTATTCAAATTTAATTGTAAATTATGTAACGCAAGTACTATCGGGCGAATGGCTGTGCTAAATTTAATTAAAATTTATTTACATGTTTAATTATTATTAATTATTTTCTTTTGGTCCTTCTGACAGATTGTTTCTTTGTTTATAAATAATCAAATAATTAAGATTTTTATCAAATAATTTGTTAAAAAATAAAATGTCTTCGTTGAGAATTCTTATTATATTGTTATACATAAACTGCAATTATAGATTTTGTTAGTAAAATACAAAAATATGTATATGTATATGTAACGTATAAATCTACTGACGAAAAGAAGAACTTCAGGAGAACATTCGACCAACAACGAGGGTGACAAGTGTTTTGCAGCTATCTCAGAATATTTTTCAAAAAAGTAAGTGTCAAAGTTCAAAAGTTTTCCAATATATGAATACGTTTTAATAAATTTAAACAATGGAGTGCCAATTAAGCGATTTAAAAGTATTTCAATAGTCTGTCAATGATGTTCCAATAGCGTATCAATGGCGTCCTAATAGCATATCAATGGCGGTCTGATAGCATATTAATTAATTCCATTAATTAATAATTAAAACTAAATATCTATATTAGTTTTCTAATTGTTGTTTGTTATTAAATGTGTATAGAATTAAATAACACATTCACTTTGTGTATACTACTTAATATTAAAAGTTACTAGGAAAAAAGAAAGTTTAATATATATTGAAATTCTAGTAACATAGCTAAGCCGATATCAGTAATAGTAGTGCTCTACTTTTATCTTACCGACCGAAATTTGATGGTAATTTACCACAGAACTACGACAGCATGTAGAAGAAACTAATATGTGCAACTTATGGCTTACTAATATCTCATTGTTAATCTATAATTGTTTGCCTTAATTCACACATAGCTGTCATATCTTTGGAACGTTCTCGTCAATATTTTTTATAGTTAGAGTAATCAAATTTTACTTTTTCAAGCTAAAAATCTCGCGATTTAAATACTTATAATCCCAGAGAATGCAATGCTGTAAATTATACAACTTTGCAATTTTTTTGAAAAGTTTTGGTTAATATTTTTTTTATTAAAAGCAAATAGATTTTAATAAAACTTATATTAAATTAAAGTATACTTTTTTGTCTACGCGTAGAATACCATATCGAGTTATAAATTTAGCGTGAAAAGTTCAGAAAATGTCAGAGAATGCAATGCTGTAAATTGTGCATCTTTGCAATTTCTTTGAAAACTTTTGTTAAATATTTTGTATACTTTTAGCAAACGGATTTTAATGATTTTGGTATTAAATTAAAGTACACTCTTTTGTCTACGCGTAGAATACCATGTCGAGTTATAAATTTAGCGTGAAAAGTTCAGGAAATGTCAGAGAATGCAGTTCTGTAAATTGTGCATCTTTGCAATTTCTTTGAAAAGTTTTGTTAAATATTTTGTATACTTTTAGCAAATGGATTTAAATGATTTTTATATAATTCTGTTGTAAGGGACCATTAGATCTCGGTCGGTAAGATAAAGGTAGAGCACTACTATTATCGATATCGGCTTAGCTATGTTACTAGAATTTCAATATATTTGAAACTTTCTTATTTCCTAGTAACTTTTAATATTAAGTAGTGTACACAAAGTGAAAGTGTAATTTAATTCTATACACATTTAAAAACAAACAACAATTAGAAAACTAATATAGATATTTAGTTTTAATTATTAATTAATGGAAGATTTTTTCTGTTGTTCAGATTCTATGCCAAATTTACTTCGTTGTTGATGTCAGTTTTTGTTGAAATCTTTATTCTAGTTTTCTAATAGTAAATTATCGATAGATTAGAAATTCTCATAGTTGGTAAGATATCGACTTAAAAGACAAATTTTGTTAAGACAATGAAACAAATGAAACTTATTTAATTTTGTATTCACACTTAATTCCACCTACGTTTATACGATAAGATAATTCGTTAAATATACTTAACGAGATTAAATAACGGTAAATAGCTAGAAGAAAGATTATATTTGTTTATCGCTAGTACATAGATTATATTTCAATTGAAAAGATAATTTTTAGTAAAATAACGAACGCGCATTAGTATCGGTAAATTAGAAAATGAGTTTTAATGATTACATGTAACTATGCTTACTATACTTAGATATATATTTAAGTAGTTAACAAAGTAATAAAGAACAGGTGATTACACGTAAAAATATGTATTGTCAAAAGTTAATTACTTAGTGAATTTTCGTATATCTAATAAATGGACATATAGTTCTCTATTTTTTTTTTAGAAATATTAAAAAAATTGTGATAAAAGCTTGGAGCTTAGGAAGATAAGGAGGGAGGGTCATTCCAAGTTCAAAGATCAAAGAAAACTGATAAGTTTGGTATTAAGAAGTATATATTGTTAAGTTTTACGGTACAAACTATAAGTGCAGCAACTCGATTGTCGACGCTCTTCATATTTTCATTAATTTTTCTAATTTGGATTAATTTTGTTAAACAATTTTTAGAAAAAATAAATTTATTTAAATACACAGTGTTTAATATTTCATGAGATTATATTCTAATAATAACGTTGACCATCGAAAGGTATCGTAAAATAATTTCTATTACATTTAGAATCATATCAAACATTATTCCAAAAAATAAAGATATCGTTAATATATGCATTATGCAATTTATCATAATCAGGTAAATTATGGCTTAGAAATCGGGAATAAATGCCAAGTATGTTTGTTTTATAATTTGCTAAATCTGCATTAAATAGAATCAAAACAATAACGAACAATTTATTGACCTGCATTTGCCGATATTTTGAGCTTTGTTAAAAACACACACATATATATACATACATATATATGATAATTGTACGGTCTGCATTAAAAGAAAATAATTTAGTCGGATGCGTTTGTTTGTTTGTTTTTTATTAATTTTTTATTAATTTTTTAATAAAACCTATAATAATTCGATTGACTACGATAATATTACTCGACAAAGATATCCTTTCATAACATATATAATAACTCATCCTCTTTTATATTCAATCTTATTTTTCCCCCAATATAAAGAATTAACTAGACTAGAGAGAAAAGTTCAGTGGCGGCACAGAACGATGACATATAAACGGACAAAGTATGAACTAACTAACTAACTAACTAATGCAAGAGAGAAAGGGAAGGGAGATGTTAGACAAAAAAAGAAAGAATAAAAGAAGAATAAGCAGTAGACAAGGGGGAGTGAGAGAGAGAGAGAGAAGGTAGAGAGAGGTGGAGTATGGTGAATGGGTTAGGGGGGGAACGGGTGTCGGTACCGTCACGATAATACAGTGTTCTGTTCTGTCCTGTATTTTCTCTCCTTATTCTGTTCGTAATTCTTCTCTCCTATTCTGTGCTAATTAAATTATTCCTGTTTTTATTCGTAGAAATATAATTTCAAGAAGAAACAGGAATATTGGAAAATATAATAGAACGTAGGAAGTAGAAAAATAAGTAGGAACGAGGAAGGCATCATCAACAAGAACAACGAACGAGGAAAAAGATATGGCCTGTCTCAGGAAGCCACCGGTCACTACTCTGACCGTTTACCTCATCTACCTTCTAGCACTCTTCGGTAAGCAAGAAGACACTAACCCTATTGGCCTCTTCCCTGGTATAACACAACCTGTCGTTTCCTACTTTACCACGCGATTATTTTCTTTTTCATTTGTGATCTTTTAACAACACATATGCGCCCTCTCACGTTTATAATTATTTCATTTATTTTCTTTCCCTATTTTATCTTTTATTTATATTTTAAATAGCAGGATTCTATACCACAAACTGGTAGCCACATCATCAAAATTACTTTCATCGATTGCTCTGTATATACGTTTGATTCAAAAATTAAATTTATTACGTTAACTTTTGTTGTTGGAATATTAAATAGTATTATTGTGTAATGTTCCGTGTATACTTGTATTTTTTTAATCATTTTTAATTAATGCAAAGAAAAATGTCAGATGGAAATCAATAAGTATAATCAATTTGAATTAGCGGATGATAACGTGACCAATGGCGTTGTAATAAATAGTTGAACGTTTGTTTTTTCGTCTTGTCCATTGGCCGAAATTCTTTTTACGCGTCAATTTTAAATCTACCTCATTTGAATTCGAATCTAGGTTTCATTTCTTTCTTTTACGTTTATAAAATAGTTCCGCAAACTTGTACTTTTGTTAGATTTTTTTTTTTTTTTATTTTGTTAAGCTTATTTACATTAATATCAGAATGCATATTTTACGTATTGATAAGTGTTCTCGAATTTTTGTTACTTTTTTTTTTATCTTACAAAGTAAACAATGCCGATGTTTGAATTATTTATATATATATATATATCGAATGTTTTGTATTTTTCTTAAATTAATAATTAATTCTTTGCACTTCAAACAATTTTTTAGTAGTTTGATAATCAATTATAGTTTTAATTTTCTTCCAATTATTTCTATGTTTTTGAAAAATATCGTAGAACATATTTTATATGAAATTATTTTTGTTGTTTGTTTTTTTTTGTTACAGGTTCCTACTGTCAAATGGCACCAGGTAATTGACCAATTCTTCTTTTTTTGTTTTGTTTTACTACGGTGATTTAAAAAAATATATATAATATATTAAAATTAGGTATTACACATTAGAGATGATAATATGCAATATTTAAATATTTTACATATTAATCAAATATTATAAATCGTAAGTATACAACGATTTACACTTAAGTAGAATTTGTTAGTAGTTTTTAGTTGAGATATTTAAAAATACTTTCCCGCCAGAATACAAATCCTGTTTGACGAGTCAACTTGCGGTTAGACGTTCAAACCAGTTCAATATCTTGAGATAAATTATAAGATTATTCAGTTGCAGCCGATAAAACCGAGTATATCAGTTTGTTGACTTTTCGATCGAATAGATTTCGGTGCATTCTCAAAGTTCACTTTCAAAATTCGTAGTAATCTTTAAACTTCTCGTAAGTTTATGTTTTACATTTTATTTATTAAAAAGAAAAATATAGTAAATTATATATATTTCATTTTAATAATCTAATAATATTTATAACCCCCCCCCCTCCGCCGAGTATGTAATATTAAAGCTGTTAATACATTTGCAACACGCATTGGTATTATTCATATGAACGTATATACATTGTTTCAAAATACAAGATAAAAAAAAGGAAAGTTGTATAAAGAAAAATAATGCAACTGCAAATAGTACTAATACATTATTACACAAGGGATTAAAGAATTATTATTGTTAATATATAATCGACCATTAGTGAAATCATTTATCATTTTCCTATAACATTTTGTTGTAACTTTCATCTCGTCCACAAAAAAAAATATATATATGACTCGTTTTAGTCGAATGATAGATAAATCACCATACATATACCGTGATATATGAGCCCCCGTACATAGGTCAAAGAGATTAATTTTGTATTCGGAATCTTGAAAAAAATTGTTAATACCAAAACACTTGATTGATGATTAACATATTCTTTTTACGTTTAAAAAATAAATTAATAATTATTTCGTTTATAAATAATGAATATTAAATGATACATAACTGTATCAATTTATTCTAGTTTTGAATTTGTAAAATTAATCGATATCGGTTAATTGAACAGTCAGTATAAACAATAACAATATTATCTTCGGATAATTTCATATCTCGTGTGCAAATAATGAAAGAGTATAAGACGTTTATAATTCCAAGAATACAAAATGTATTTACGTATATAGTTTAAAGATAAAAGCACATGTATTTTCATTGATATTATTAATTTTTTTCATTGAATATCTATTATTTTCAATCTTTTTATCGTAGCAGCAAAAAACAACAGCAACAGCAATTGATAAAATTTCGTCACAACTTAACGGTGTATCCTGTAACTTGTTAGATGTGTGTGTGTTCTCCTCGTGCCAGAGTTACAAAGTCCCCCCTTTGATACACATAGATATATTCAAACACATACAGTTACTCTCTCACATGTTAAAGCTCATTCCAGCATTGACTCATGAAGCGGTTCTTCGACGGTGAATCTCGCAGACGACGCGTAAACTCGTAATCGGTTGCCTCGTGGCTCTTTCTTCTCTTAGTTTCTTCTGAAATCATCAAAATTCAACGAAAAACACAAAATTATACAATCACGCGAGATAATAGAATTCGATTGAAAATGATTATTAATCCAACAACATTTCGGATTTAACGTTTTTTTATCCTTTTTTTACGCATATCATTCTTTTTTTTGGATTTAGTTGTTTTAATTGATTTGTGATTTTATATATCTCAATAAAAAAAAGTATAAAAATATATAAGAATATAATAAGAAGTAATAAAAATCAAAAGTAAAACCCACAAACAAAATGTTTACCGTTTGATTCGTTAACAGAAGATTTTGTTTGTATAGTGAAAAACATAAAAGGGGGGTGGGGAGGAAAACAAAAATGTATTGGAAATTATTGTGGATAATAATAATTGTAGCAGTAGCTGGTGCCACAAAAGGTTGGGATGTCGGAAGTGGGCTCAAATATGAGCTAACTACAATAGTTTTGTTCAGAGAGGCTGGACCCTCCAAGTCTGTTGGTGACGTCGGCTTCCAATTAACTGCCGAGTTAGATGTGACCGCTGTTTGGAGGGATCCTAACGATCCAGAATCTCTTCTTTTAAATATTGAGGTAATTTTAACAAATATTTCATTGTTCATTCAAAGTATATTATGATTTTTTTAGGAAACTTGCATATTACTTTTATATAATAATGATTAGTTTTATTTGATTATGTATAATACGATGATGCATTTGATTTCAATTAACCGTTAACGATATACGATATTATGTATTATGTGTGAGTGGAATTATTATACTTTTCAAATCCCGTTATTTAGTCCCATTGTTCTTTCTTTTTTTTTTTTCATACTTATTAATATCTTAACTTATGATCCATAGATCGAATGAAAAGAATATCATATATATTATTTATGCAACGTTATATTGTGTTCGTATTTCATTGTTCCCTTTTTTAACGCGATGTTTTATTATCACGTTTCTATCTCGTGTTCTTTTGAAAAAGAATATAAATATTATATTTTTTTTGTAACAAAAGTATTAGTTTTTTTTTTTTATTCTCGCAAATAAATTTCACTTATGCACATACGTTTCATTTTTAGCAACACAGTTTCGCGTAGAGATCGTGTTCAAATCGATAACCTTTTACGTAAAAAAAGAAAAAGAAAAAGATAAAGAAAAGAAATGTATAATGCGAACCTTTGAGAATGATTATCTCTGAAAATGTTTATATAATAACGAACTTATATGCAACGAGATAAGAATTGATAAATATATATTTCTTTTTTTTTTTTGTTTAAATAGATTTTATCACCACAATTGTTGATTAAATCACGGAAAGCACCAGAACCGGAGGGTTTCGTAAAACATTCTTCCAAAGTTGACGAAATATCAGAGAAACCTGTCATCGTTTTATGGAAAAATGGTGAAATTCGTGGAATTTATTTGGACACGTCGGAATCAATTTCGTCGAAAAATTTGAAACGAGGATTAGCCAGTATTTTTCAATACAAAACTTTGGACGATGAGATACGAGAAAAGGATGCTTCGGGTCTTTGCACGGTTTCTTACGTTTCTATGGGACCGAGAACAATATTTAAACGTAAATCCAATTGCAAGCACAGTTTAACGCCAAAGAAACAACATCCTGATTTTATTTTCGGTGTAAATCTTTTAAGTTCACGAAACGTTACTTACGAATTGTCAACATTTTTATTACCAACGAATATTAAAGAAGAAGAAGAACACGAATTGACTTTGATTACCAGACCGGAATTAGGCAGTATTGTTACTTCGAAAAGATTATTAGTACAGATACCAAAAGATATCAAAGTTAATAAATTAGATGCCAATTCCGTTAAACACGCGGTAGCTCTTCTACAACCCGGTTACAGAGAAACCAATATCGAATTGGAAATGGAACCATTTACCTGTCCAGATTCTCGATGTCCAATGGTAATTACATTAATTACGTTTAAAACATTTTATTCAAATTCATTGTATGTAAGATTAAAGATAAATTGTTGATGCAAAAATAATCATTGATTTCAGCTTGAACAAACGGTGGAAGAAAATCGTGAGTCACTGAATAGTGCGGCATTGGGTACAACGAAATCAGCGTCAGCATTTTTGAAACTTTTACCTCTAGTCAAACGAACGCCTTCCGATCAATTAGAAAAATTATTAAAAATTCCACGTTATCGTCAATTGAAGTTGCAATTATTGGATCTTTACGGATCAACGTCAACCCCAGCAGCACATCAGGCTGCTATGAAGGTACTCAGGCAAGATGAGAAAGGGGATGACATTGAAAGGTATCTTTGGGCTTTGTCCATGTCACCAACTCCGAATGCCGACATAGCCAAAGATATTTTGAAAAGATCCGAGGATATTGTGCAAAACGATAAAGTATCGGAAACGTTTGCGTTAACGGCGGCGGCCATTGCACGACATTACGGGACCCCAGCTGTGATAGAAAAGGCACGAATTAGTTTAGAATTAGGTTTAGATAGATGTAAATTAGAAGAATGTAAGATTAAATATTTGCGAGCTTTTAGAAATTTAAAAAGTAAAGAGACTATTCCGATATTGTTGAAATACGCTAATGAAGAGAATCGTGCTATCAGTGTTGTAGCTTGGCGTGCATTGGCCTCTCTTCCACGCGAATACGTAACATCCGATATTAAGGAAGCCGCATTTAAAACTCTTTATCAAATTGGTGGATTTAAAAAAGATAGCAGTGCTCGTACACTTGCTTTGGATATTATTCTTGATAACGGACCGTCAAAGGATGAACTTGAAGAACTCGTTAAATTTTTAGCGAATACCGATGTCGCTTATGAGATACGTAAATATTTGTATCAACGTTTCGAACAATTGTCGGAAAAAAATCAAACATTTGCGCGCAATTTAAAAGATAATTTCAATAAACTACAACAGAAGATAAATAATTACAATGTTTTAGCGCAAAAAGGTTTGAGTACGGCATTTTCGCGAGATTTCTTGAAATCAGCGGGTAGCAATGGATCTCTCGTAACCATACAAGAAATAAATGGTGGCTTATTGAAACGTGGTACGGTTAACGTAGTATTAGAAACTAACGATCAAGAGGAAACAATGTTTTCACTTGGTCTTTTCGCTCGTGGACTTAGTAGTTTTGTTTCTTCGGGTCAAGATGAGAATACCGATGCGGATGACGAAGCAACAGCTACAGCTGGAATGGAAATTGATTTATTAGGCGTCGGTATAAGACCTTTCGTATTTTTTTCCGGCCAAGGCGAATTGATGGGACACGTTTGGTCTGGAACAGCATCCGAAAGGACACCAGCTTTTCAAGCGATTACAACACTTCACAGTCACAGCGAGTATTTACCACTTGCGGCTGGTTTTGTTACCGAAATGGATGTTCAAGGTGCCATGAGTTTCGATCTTGCCGGACAAATTCAATTAAGTCTTTGGTCGAGAAACGCTAATTCTTTGGTAGACATGAGTGCTGGTATCGTAATCCAAGGTGGTACCAAATTACGATCGAATTTCGTTCAAAGTATGACCGAATTTTCATTAACCATGGAACCAAAATTGGAACTTATCACTGACGTTGATTTTTCCGGTCAAGTTTCACTTTGCATGAGATTAAGCCAACCGGACACAATGATCAGACAACAAGTATACAAAATCGAAAGGATACCTGGCAGCAGACACAGATTAAGAAAAACACGAAGAATAAAACTCTTTTCTCCTGGTAGATCGTACTTGCTTAACAGAAAAAACAACGAAATGTGCTCTAAAGTGTATAGTTAAAAAAAAAACAAAAAAAAATAAGTAATGATATTACATTTGAAAAATGAATCCAAGACTTTTACATCGACGGTGTCATAGGATTTAGGATATTTAATTAACACAAAGATTGAAGAGACTAAAAATAATTATCCGATAGTATGCGTGCGTGCGTATGTATATATATATATATACATATACATACCTTATTTTTTTTATACTATTCACAGAAGCTCGTTGAAGGATGCTATTTATAAAACATAACATGTTTTTTAATCTTAAATATTTTATTAATATAAAGAATCTTTTTTTAAAAATAGTTATATTACATACTTTTATATAACGTATTAACGATAATAATTATTTTCTATTTCATTTGAATTTAAATTAGATTTTGAATCACGTGTAAGAGAGAAATTAAATTTAAAAATTGAATTTACACGATCACCGACAACCACATTCCGCTACCACCATATCCTCGTATCCATACTGATAGGTTAAAGTACCAGTAGCATCGAGATAAAGTAAACTCGTGGGGGCCAATCTCGTTGGAACGCAGCATGCTCTGCCCACGAGTTTGTTACCATTAATACCTTCGGTTCCTTGAAGTGCACCATGAACGAGAGTTTGCACTATAGCGTGTTTAGTTGGACTTAGATGATCGCCGAACGGATAATAACACTTTCCAGCACATTGATAAGCTTCATATCCCGGGGGTGCAACAACCCATTTATCGTAAGCGATCAATGAGAAATCAACGTAAAACGGACGTTTTTTGCATGAATTTTTACGTCTTATCAAACGTCTAGTCCCGTCATCGTCCCATCGTAAATTATCTTCGCGATCATCCTGATTTATGGAGGTAGAACGACGATATCTCTTCCTTTTTTTAGGTTTCCTATAACTCAGTAACAAAATTGGACCGTCGTTTCTCGTTCTGTAAGATATTCTTCCGTGTACGTGTAGTCTCACAAGATTCCCGTTTCTTGTGGCAACCGCTGAAGTTACGTTGAATGCTCTCCAAGTTTCATCTCTTCTCGACCTTGTCATTTGTTCACGAGTCTGTTTGGACATCATCTCGTCCATGCTTCTTACTCTAAATATAGTACCCGCTGTACCAAGTAATTCCGCGGTTTCCAAAGTTTCTTGATAATTAACGATAGGTATTAAAAACTCGATAATCCTACCGCCACCGGTGACAGGTAACGAAATGTGACTGGGTTCGAGTGCCCTGATTACGTCGTGTTCTGGACGTAAATGATAAAGTCTAAGCATGTATCTCGATACCGTATCGCGATATTTCTTACGATTTTGATCAACAATTTTTCCAACTGACGATGTCGAATTGAAAATATTACGTTGTCGGGTGATCGGTAATGCTGAGCTAGCCAAGTTGAGATTTAATCTTATCGACGCTGTCGCTCTCACGGTTGAACAACGCGGTGGCCACGAGAGGAATCCAGTTTTCCATGCGCAGGAAATAATAATTATTACGATAATCAATAATGTCCAGGAACGAGGATAACACATGGTAATATTCATACAATACAAAATTACAAATAATTTCTAAATAAAATTTCTAATTAGATTCGATTCGATACGGTTTTGATCAGATGTATAAAGTATACCCGTTTCGTATGGGATACTATAACGAAATGCGAGTTGCACGTGTCCTTTGACCGAGGTGTCTGGTCTGCGGATTGAGAAGGAAGGGTCGTTTCTTCAAATAACTACCAATGGTGTTTGATCAGGAGGAGAAGAGTGCCGATGGTAATTTCTTATCAACTGCAGACCACCTAACCACTCGACCGAGCATCAATGTTTCAAATCTACCCTGCCAACCGTTCAAAGAAAATCGAACTTCTTCAAGAGAACCGGTTGGAGAATATGAGAGAGTGTATATCATACAACTTGCCATCGTTGTGTTGTGTTCTGTCGTGTTGTGTCGTCGTTAACACATGCAACGGGGTTATTGTAGTCGTCGTTACCGTTTGGGGGTGCTGTTGGAGGGTCGGCTCGCGGCATTTGTTCATCGATTCGCTGCATAGTGACGTCACAATGGTGGCGGGTATATACGCTAACGAAAATCCGCAACGCAACGCAAACCTATCAACGTCGTCGTCGTTGTCGTAGACCTCGTCGTCGTAGTCTTAGTCTTCCTCTCGTCTTGTAATAATCATAGAGTACGATCGAATTCAAACAAAAGAGAAAAGGAAACCGCGTTTTACGAGAAGGAGGAGGCCATGCCGTGGCCCTGACCCAAGTTTTTTTATTCCGGCCCGAACACACAACTGTCTTCGGTGCCATTCGGTGGGGTTTAAACCAGTTGTGTTTCTACAGTTTCTTTCTACGTTTTTACGTTATTCTTTTCTTCCTGAATACCAGTACAACCCTTTTTACTAAAACAAAGAGGAAGAGATATCAGTTTATTATCTAACCGTGAATATCTGCAAGATTGTTGGTTTCTTTCTTTCTTTTTTGTGTGTTTTCTGTGTTTTAACACATCTTTTACAATACCACCACGCTGTATAATTATAATATATATATATATATACGTGTCCGTCAGTAAGTATTTAATTGTTTATTGTAAAATATTAACACCACACGTTTGTTATGTGATAACATGTAAAATTGTAACGCCTTAGGAAAAGGGTTAAGTACACGTGTAGAAAATAATCCATAATTACGTTCGTTTAACTTTTTCTTTGTCGCGTTTGATATTGTTAGCTAGCGTGTCGTTGATCCGTCACGCGTTTTATTATCAGTCGTCTAAATATCGTTCTTCTTCAACAACCATACATACACACACACATACACACACATTTTCATCGTCTTTTGTTATATGCATCGTCGTCGTCGTCTTATAGTCATCGTTTTCTTCTTCTACTTTTGCTTGCATCGATAAAACGAGAATAAATAAGAAAGGAAAAAATTATTTTTATATCAGCTATGTGTCCGCGAGTTATTTATCATTTTTTATTTATTTTTTTTTATTGATCGACATTATATTTCTCCGCAGACCCGATCAAACTTCGATGACGGTAGAAAAAAAGGGTGGGTGGGCTTATTAATCGCGTTGTTAACAAAATTATTCTCATTTTTTACACGTTAAATAAACGATTTAAAATCAAGTATGTGTCTTTTTTAAATTTCGATACTCGATATCGCAAATTTATCGTTTGACGTTTCCAACTGGCGCTTGCGCACACTTAAACAAGTAAAAATTTCGTTTTTCTTTCTTTTTTTCTTTTTATATGTAAAATATATTATATATTATAAGATCTTTTGTGTGGAATAATTATTTTCCACTTTTTTATTTTTATTGACGCGGTAAATAATAATTCAATTAATCCTTTTTCTTTATTGAAATAATGTCAACGCTAAGTGCAATTACTTTATTCGTTTATTATGTTTTCAATGATTACTTACATATATTAATGAGAATATTACGAATATGGAAATTTTTAAACAATTATGAAAGTTTTATTAAAATTTCTAATTTCACGTAATATCTGCAATTTTCGCGAAACGAATGGATTTTTTTTTTTTTTTCCTTAACGTGACCCCTAAATACAAAAATCAATTGCAATCCTAAACCGGGGAAACGTATTAGGTCAAGTATTAGTAACGCAATGCGTATTATAAGCATATTTGAACACTACTTTATCATAAAAAAAGTAATTAATTATAATCTTTTTCCTTTTCATCCCTTTTCTGAAAAGTAACAATATATTGAAATACCAAATTATATGTAAATTTCGATGAATGTTGATAAATTAAACAAAATCCACCCCCCTCCTAAAAAAAAGAGATAAAAAGAAAAGAAATGATTTATATTATCTAATATTACAGATTAATGTAATTAAAATATTATAATTGAAAATCAAGTGTTACAGTCTAACTTCGAAGATTACATTCCATATTTGAGTGGAGCAGCTGGTGCCCTTGTCATCACAGGTGTAGCAGCATATTATGCTACCAGACCTAAACCGGAAAAACCATTGTGGCCTCTCGACTCTCAAAGTATTTTACTTCCGGTAAGAAAACTTATACAAACTGCATAATATATGATGCATAAATATACGTGACATATATACGTATTTATAGGTTTTTAATTGATTTTTGTTTGTTTGTTTATATTCGTTTATTTTTTGAAATGTTTTTGGAACTTTAAAAATAAAATAAAAAGGACGTTTATACAGGTATATTTAATTTTTTGTAATTGATAGCATAACTTGAACGTTTTCTATACGTTAATAAGCGACTCTCACATATGTTCGACAAATTTGTCCAATGTCTAATAAATCAAATTGATGTCGTATCGCCTTAACAGTAAAATGAGATAATAGAGCGGTGTGGTGAATTACGTTATTCACTAGATAAACGTATATCAACATATGTACATATGATCTTTGATGATGCGAATTCAGATTTTATTTTCTTACTTCAAAATCTATATACTTTTGTCTAATACAAGCAGGAAGAGAATTTGCCAGTTTGTTCGATCAGTTTTCTCAAAGTAGGGGAAGGGGTTGAACGTTGTTTTCAAATAATTGTTCTTTGATTTTCTTTTTCGAAAGAGAACTTCTTTAATTTGGTCTATACACTATTACTAGTATATTTGTTTCAGTAAAGTAAAATACGTTCAATGCTGTTTGGAGTATTGCAAGTTTCATATTTAAATGTTGAATTGTTGTCTATAAATTTTCAATCATTTATATGATAATAATAGTAATGATAAATTAATTGATATATACATTAAGAATGATAAATTAAAAATAGAATAAATATTAATCATTTGAAACACGGAATTTTAGAAAAAAAAAAAACAAAAAAACAAAAAGACCCTTTGTTGTACACAGAATTGTGCACAAAATTGATTTTAATTTTGATTAATAAACGAATAACATATATATTAGAAGAATATAAAGAAATAATTCAAATGAAGTTTTTCTTGTGAACATTTATCATGCACATTTACGTATCAAAAAAGTAAATGAGGGGGTGGTTTTAATACATTTAATACTTACGTGATTCAAAGTATCGGTACTGTCGATCATAAGACGATTATCCATCGAGTTCGGTGTTCGTCGAGGACGACGCTCTCTACCAACGGGGGGACACTATATTTAAATATAGTCGAGAGTAGTTTGCTAAGTTAGAATAAGCTATGCGCGCGTCTTACGTATTAAAATCAAACTGTTGAAGATTAGACTTTCCTACTCGTCAGAATAAGCAACCAAGCAACTGAACAAGTAACCAAACAAGTTAGCAAACAAGTTAGCAAACAAGTTAGCAAACAAGCAAGCAAGCAAGCAACTGAACAAGTAACCAAACAAGTAAGCTAGCAAGCAAGCAAGCAACTGAACAAGAAACTAAGCAAGCAATAGAAAAGCGGGATCACCTCGTGACAAGCTAGGTTAATGCCAAAATTGAGGTGTTTCGAAAAGTTGAGAAGGGAAATCAGTCATCGCGGGCGTATCGGCCCGTTCTGGTCTCCCCAGACTTGGCTCGTCGTTCCTCGTCGTTGTCAGTGTTAAATCAGTGCGTGTTGAATTTTCTTTAGAACACATACTTACCTATTCTCGTTCTTTCTTTCTTTCTTTCTTTATTTCTTTCTTTATCTATTTATCTGGTGTTTATTTGAAAGTGTTTATTACATATATATATATATAAGATCATCGTATTCATCAAGAAATCAATCACACGTTGTTAGTGGCGTGCGTTAAACGCGTCCGTAAAACGCGTTATTAGACGCATTGCCAAATTAAATAAACATTAATAGGTGTGTCGAAGGAAAAAATTATGCCATCGTCGTCGGGGTGTTTTCTACACGAGCCGATCCGCGTGCCGATCGACCTCAACGAGCAATCTGATACCTTTAAGGTGTAGTGTCTCCTATCTCCTATCGCACACAACATTTTCCTTTATTTCTTTTTCTTTTTTATCCTTTTTTATTTTTCTACTTTTTCTTATTTTTGTTATATAGATAAATACCTAAAAATTACCTTTAAATCTGAGATATCATTTGATTCCCTTTCGATGAATTTTTTCTCTCTCGAAATTAATTTTCCTCCCTTAGAAACCTCCCCTCACGCCCCGACCCAGGCCCTCCATTCAAGAGATGGTTTTTGTTTTTTTTTAATATACGATCCGAAAAATTTTCGATCATTTCTTTTTCCTGTTATATTCAATTTCTTGATTAAAATCCTGAAAATCGGTAGTGGTCTTTTACGCGGTGGCATTGCGGTGCCACGCACCGCACCGCACGGTGGCTAAATTTAGTGTTGCACTTGCCATTACGTTATATAACAAAATACCGGAACACAACCCAGGGATTACTTAGAGAATATGTCAAGAAAATTCTCTTGGACGTTTTACAGGGTACCGATTTGATAAGGGTCTCGCGATTCTACAAGGACAGCAAGGAGGGTAAATTTGTTAGTTACTTGCACGAGGATACAAGGACCCTTTACGACGGATTTCGCAGAGGCGCCAAAGAATCCAGTAAGTTATATGCAACCTGTCGGATAATTGATTTCAAATAATTCTCTATT